GCTGGCCTCTGCCATTGGCAAGTAGGTGGAAGAATTGGGTTGACTGGTCCTACACCTGTTCCATGGCTTAAGCCACTGCTGGTTCTGACAATTGCAGGGAGCCCTGGCTGGGAGAAGGTGGCTGAGAGTGGCAGCATTTTCTTCGTTGGTTTCTCAATGAGCCATAACTCTTTCAGATTCACTGCACACACATGGCCTGCATGCAGATCTGGCAGTTTCCATTCATGATGCAGGCTGGGAAGGTAGAGTCTGGAAAACTCATAAAAGCGGACTGAGTGGTAAAGGAAAATCAATCTTCTCTTGCTTTGGACCAAGTTGACGAGAATCATTCTCCCTGATTCTCCATAAATTGGAGCAAGGCTTAGGACACTAATCCTACTGTAATACCATTTGAAGACGAACACTGACATTTGTGACATTTAAATAACAGTTCAGGTCTGCTATTAAACCAGGGCCTCCAACTGTTTAACCTTTGCCCTTGTGTACTATTACCCTTGGCCCAGTGCATGCAAATGTACTTATTAATGCATTTCAGCTTTCTGATGCCACATGCTTATTTAGTTTTGCTGGATACCTTGCTTCATGGGAACTGCAGTGCACCAAGCATGAAATTTGTTTTAAAACTTTTAAATGTGACACATTCCAAGCCTCTCTCAGAGATTATGTTTATAAAGCTAAAGTAAAATAAAAAGTTGAGGCAATTATCCAAAATCTTTCTGTGGGTGGAGGAGTGTGTGTTTCTTGAACTAAAATTATTTAGAGAAATCCAAAGCCATTCATTCATTCAACAAAAGTTCATAAGGGCTTTTTATGTACCACATACTACATTACATTCGAAATAAGGAAAATATACTCCCTCCCCTTAAAATACTGTAGCTATGTGATTTCATGGCCCTACTAACATAGACACGCACGCTAATTTATGTGTGTCTTCCTTTAGTCTTTGCTTAATGGCACATACAAAATCTTTACTGGTTTCAAAAATGCAGATTCTTGTTTTAGCTAAAGTTATATCAACTAATGTATTAGAGGCTGGAGGAAATCTTTTCCACGCGGATATAATTTAAAAAATGTTAGTGTTGCTATTAAAGTCAATAAATAACCTTTTTTCATCTCTTGGATATTTTTCTAAACAGAGGAAAACAATTTCTGTTATATTCTTGATCATCACATACCATTTCTTGAGCGTTGATGAATCTGCTTCATGTCTGACAGAGAATTAAGTTGCATCATTTTACTATGAAGGTCACTAGTTGGGCTTATATTAAGTAAAGTGCAGGCTGAACTGGCACGGATAGACCTAAGTTTGATGACTGACTCTCCCAGTTTCTAGAAGTGCAAAATTCAGCGAGTTGCTTAACTTCTGTAAACTTCAGTTCCCTCATCCATAAGATGGGTTAATAGTATGTCCCGTGCTGAATCTTAGGAGGATGATAGAAAATAATTCTGAGAAGATTGCTAACATAGAGGCTTATTGCTGTTCTGGTCCCTACGCTTTAGAGAGCCCCCTGCCCCGATACTTCCCCACAACTCCAGCCCTGCCCCTTCTCTCAGCACAAGCTTTTCTTTTCTAGGTCAGTGGTTCTAAGTTTGCAGCAATTCTTCCACCACCTAGGAGGCCTTTGGCAATGTTAGGAGACTGTTTTGGTTTATATATATATTGAGACAGCGTGTCACGCTGTCACCCAGGCTGGAATGCAATGGTGCAATCTTGGCTCACTGCAACTTCTGCACCCTAGGTTCAAACAATTCTCCTGCCTCAGCCTCCTGAGTACCTGGGACTACAGGTGTGCATCACCAGGCCTGGCTATTATTTTTTTTACTTTTAGCAGAGATGGGGTTTTGCTATGTTGGCCAGCCTAGTCTTGAGCTCCTGACCTGAAGTGATCAGCCTGCCTTAGCCTTCCAAAGTGCTGGAATCACAGGTGTGAGCCACGGTGCCTGGCTTTGGTTTTTATAATTTCGGATGGTGCTATAGCATCTAGTAGGTAGAGGCCAGGGATGTTGCTAAGCATTCTATAATGCACAGAAAAAGTTCTTTTTTCCCCTCAATAGGAAAGACTTACTTAGGGCAGAGAATAAGTCCAGAGATTGAAAAATCCTGCTCTAAATCATGCTCTGGGTCCCAGCAACTCTGAAATTCTCCTCCCGTTAGTCCCTTTCCAGGGTCTGTGCCTCTCCTCACTAGGGCTGATAGGGTGGCTATTTGAGAGGGCCATGGACAATGGCTCTTGGTCCAGCCTTTTCATGCCACCATGTTCCAATGTGGAGCTCCAAGGAGTCTGAGACTTATAAAGTGGAATCTGGCCTTCCAGGTTGTTATGAAGGTGTGCTTGTCAAGGTCAGAGGATAAAACATTTTAGTTAACATGTTAGTAAGCTAGATTTAAAACTTATTTTTAATTTTAATTTATTTTTTTGAGACTGAGTCTCACTCTGTTACCCAGGCTGGAGTGTGGTGATACTATCTTGGCTCATTACAACCTCTACCTCCCAGGTTCAAGTGATTCTTCTGCCTCAGCCTCCCAAATGACTGAGCCTACAGGCATCCACCACCACGCCTGGCTGATTTTTGTATTTTTAGTAGAGACGGGGTTTTACTATGTTAGCCAGGCCAGTCTCGAACTCCTGACATCAGGTGATCCACCTGCCTCACCCTCCTGAAGTGCTGAGATTACAGGCGTGAGCCACAGCACCCAGCCTAGAACTTTAAATATTTAGATATTGGGTATGTGGGTCTTTGTTTGCATTCTTTCTCTGGACCCCCCAAGTGTTAGCCATGGGCCTGCCAGTTAGATTTTTAAAACTCTGCATCCTTCCATCTTCATGAAGGGTGTTACTTGATTTCCGTCTTTCAGGCTCAGTCCTAAGAGCTCATCTTTACTCGAGGCAGATGATGCAAAGGTGGCTCTAATGCTACACGCCCACATGCTGAGGCTTAACGCTGGTTTGCTTTGGTTGCTAATTTGTTCCAGTTTCTGATCTTTTTTTGGAGTTGAAACATTTAGAGTGATGATCTTCACAATGATTTCTTTTTTTTGAGGACTCTACCTTCAGCTCAGGCTTGGGCCTCTTGCAGACATGTTAGCATCGTCTGATCCAGGCAGGGCCCTTCAGAATCTCTTCCAGGGTAGCTGAAATTGATGTGCAGAATCAGTATCTGTGAGTGGCTATAGCTCAGTGCTGTAACTGCGAGAGTTGCTGTTGGACAGCCATCTTTTACCAGAGGAAATTGTGGTGTAGAGATAAATGGAGAGAGTGCCGGGTGCAGTGGCTCACGCCTCTAATTTCAGCACTTTGGGAGGCTGAAGTGGGAGGATTGCTTGAGCCCATGAATTTGAGATCAGCCTGGGCAACATGGTGAGACCGTGTCTCTGCAAAAAAAAAGTAAAAATTAGCTAGGCACAGTGATACATGCCTGTAGTCCCAGCTACTTGTGAAGCTGAGGTGGGAGCATTGCTTAAGCCCAAGAGGTCAAGGCTGCAGTGAGCCATGAACGTGCTACTACGTTCAAGCCTGGGCAGCAGAGCAAGACCCTGTCTCAAAAAAAAAAAAAAAAAAAAAAAAAAAAAGAAAGAAAGAAAGAAAGGTGAGGGGTGGGGAGTGAGGAGAGTGAAGAGAGGGAGAGAGAGATCGTGAGAACCTGCCTGGGTTCTTGATGGATTTTCAAGATCTGGAAAGATCTCTGGGTTCTCCTAGACATCTCAGTTTCTTCCAAAAAATTCTCCTGTTTGCTTAAACTGGATTGAGTTGGTTTCTGCTGCATGCAACAATAAAGACCTTGACAAAGAGCCCATTTTCCAAGCCTCTCTTCTGGTAACTTACCTTGAATCTTGGTGCCCTCCTTGCATGGGGGTCTGGGATTGCTCTCTCCAGGGCACCAGTAGGCAAGGCAGTGCATACCATCTACTGCTGGATGTCACACTCTGCCTGCCAGCAGGACCCCTTCCCATTAGAGTCTTGAATCCTAGGAGCTGTCTAATATAAGTGGGTAGGTTCGCTTTTAGACCTCATCCCCTCCTACTTGCAAGAAAAGGGAATATTCAGGCCACGTTCTTCAATGTGATATATTTATTTTATTCTGTATAGATCTGCAATTTAAAGATGTGTCTATATATTTCCAAATAACCAGTTAAAACTCCCCAAATAAATGGATAATTGCATTTGTAAAATTTATGAATAATAAAAAAAGCAATTTAACCTGGTTATGTACAGTTTATCAGAGCAATCTTGAATACATATTATCGCAGAAAACTAGTAGGATAGTTAAGATGCTGGTACAAGACCAAACTTAGAGGATATAAGTGTAGTTTTATTATTTCCAATTTTAATGATAGGAAAACCAAAGCTTCTGATAATGATGCAGGTGGAGTTTGAATTGAGGTCTCTTTGTTTCCAAAGGTATGAAAGTAATAGAAAGAAACCCAAATGGAGAAACATAGAAACAAGTGATTTCTTGGGGAAAAAGGAATGCTGGGAATGACAATTTTTTAAAAAAATCTGTTGGTGTCTCGAAAAAAATAGGTTCTAGAAAATCACTTAGAAATTGTGTTCTGTTACTTAACAGTTGTGGCCTGCAGGCTCATCTGAGAGACTTCCTCCTTTTTTTCCTCTCTCTTTGCTTACTTGAGGATTTAAGCCAGCATCCACAAGAGTCTGTGAATTCACTAATACAGCCACATTTTTGTTAAGGACAAAAAAAGTCTGGCCTTTAGGTCTAATGTAGTTAAGACAATGAATTGACTGGATTGCTCGTTCTCCCTCTGCCCTTGCTGGTGCTCTTTCAGTTTCCTCCCTCTGGTTTGTCTATCTTTTCCCTCTCATCTTTATCTAGTCTACTCACTCAGTGTCTACCAGTTTATTTGGGTGGGTTTGTCTGAAGTTTTCTCTGGCTAATACAATCATCTATGCTAATATTACTGTTAAGACGCCTTAAAAAAGTAAACACATTCCAAAAATCAATTCCTTAACCTCCTAAACGTTCTATTTTTGTGTTTCCAGGCTTAGCTTGGCCAAAATCTTAAATTCAAGCGCTGAATCTAATTACAGATCTACATACAAAAAAGATGTTTGGGGTAAGTTTGTCATGATGTGGAGAATTCTGTGCCAACAGTTTTATGACTTAATTTTGTTTATTTCCAAAATTCCCAGTCTAATGGGCCTATCCAGGATCATGTCAAACAGGAAAGTCTTACCATGGTGTGGAGTAATTAGATTTTCCCCCTCAAATTACTTTACTATATGTTTTAATCAATAACTAGCAACATTTAAATTCTTTCAATCCTACCAGCTATAAGAGAAAAGTAAAGGACTAATTAAAAGACCGGTGTCCACAGTAGAAAAAAATGATGAATCTTTTCATCACTCAGCAGCTTAGGGATGCTTCAAATATATTGTTTTCTTTTTCTGCCTTGGAGTTATTTATTGTTCAGGGGGAGGGTGGACAGAACTGCTTTTGAAGTTAAACATCTTGCTTGGATGAGCAGATATGTTGCATCAAATCAAAGTAATAAAAAGACAAAATGCTTTATTAAATCTTCTTTATCACTATATTGTGCTCCAATAGGATGATCTAATTAAAGACACAGTTGAGCCTCTTTTCATCTGAAGAGGAGTTCACGGGCTTTCATTATTAAAAAGTTTGCGCAAAAACAAATACGTGGCTGTATTGCTTCCAAGTTTCTCAGCGGTGCCTCCTTTCTGTTTTGCTCGATTTGTTATGGAAGTCTTGGCTGCCACTTCATGGCTTGATACTAACTAGTCCTTTTCATCTTCAAAGTACCTGTGAGGCATTAACATGACTAATATTTGTAATACCACTGTGAGGTAGGCACTGGACGTCTGGAAGTGCTGTATTCTTTTAGAAGATTTGAAAACAAGAGAATTGAAAGTGGTGTCTATGTGAATGCTGTTGATGAACACTTGGCTTTCTGGTTCTGAGTTTGCAAACGTCTAAGTTGGCACTTTGTCTCCCTAAGATAATGCTAATTTATTCTGCATAATGGGAGCCTCCTTCAAGTCACCATACTCGTCACCATAATCCCCATCATCAAAAAAATGTGGAAAACTAGAGAGAATTGGACTAGTGATTGCCCCTGAGTTGCGATATTCTTAGATCATCTCAATTTAATAAGCATTCACTAGGTGTTAAATTGTGTTTTATTTATTTATTTATTTTTTGAGACTGAGTCTTGTTCTGTCACCCAGGCTGGAGTGCAGTGGTGTGATCTCAGCTCGCTGCAACCTCTGCCTCCTGGTTCAAACAATTCTTGTGCCTCAGCCTTCCAAGTAGCTGGGACTACAGGTGTGCACCACCATGCCCAGCTAATTTCTGTATTTTCAGTAGAGACCGGGTTTCACCATGTTGGCTGGGCTAGTCTCAAACTCCTGACCTCGGGTGATCTACCCACCTTGGCCTCCCAAAGTTCTGGGATTACAGGCATGAGCCACTGTATCCAGCCAGTGTTTTACTTTAATTCCTGACTAACATTAGTCTTGCATAAAATGTCATTCAGATTTGGCTACCTTAAGGGTCAAAAGTAGCAGCTGTGTATAGGTCTTAATCGACCAGCCAAATTGTTTTATAATTTTTTTTAAATTTGCAATTCTTGTGATGAGGTTTGTGCTCCCTTGTTTACTATAAAGCTTGCTGCCTTCTGTCGTTTTACATAGAGTTGATTCTGTGTAATAGATGTTACCTGCACCACTACTGGAAGTGTTTGAGTTTACTTAGTTAAATAGAGAAGGGAATGATCATCTTATTTTCTTCAAACCAGGACAAATTTGGTAAGTTGGCAAAATGGATAAATTGTTTAATTTCCTTGACTCTATCTCACTCCTGACTAAAAATGATCTCTTCCCTCTTCCCTTTCTCCATCAAATTCTCATTTTTTCTTTTCCCTGTCTTCATCAAATTCTTATTCTTTTTATTGCAGTTAGCATCCTCCAAGGAGAGTATGCTAATAAGGGAATCCACACTGATGTAAATGACTGTACTAGCTTGACATTTTACCCCTCCAGAGCTCCTGGAAGTTTAAAAGAAGATAGTAACCATGGCTTCACCTCTGGCATCTGCCAAGTCAGTGGCGATATTTATAGGGACATAACTTTTATTTTGCATGATTGTAATCTCTCAGATAAAATTATGTATTTTTGATTATTGGCTTTTACACTGTATATGTAAGGCAAGCCTTACCTTAAACCCTATTTCTATGAGCCCATTCAGATTTCTACACCAGAATCGAGAAAATGGAAAGAAATCAACAGGGAAATGTTTAAAAAGGTAAGTCTACAACATTGTTTATTTACTTAGGCTTCTCTTCTTGTGTATGAAAGCACACAAGAAGACACCACAAGGGAAGAGGATGTTTTGGGACAGAAAGCAAAGAAAAGCTACACAGACCCACTTCCATTTGATTTTCATTCTGTATTGGATACTGACCAGCTTGGCCCTGGGAGTTTCAGATGTAGATAGGGTGGAGATTTCCAGCTACGATGAATGATGAATGATCTCAGATGGAGGAGCTTTTCGGGGAACAGCAACTATGTGTAAGAAACATGAAACCTTCCAGTTGTGACCTATTTCAGAACAGAACTGCAGGCTTGAGTGCGGACAGTGCAGAGAAGAGCCACAGCCTCCCTGCATCTTCTCAGCCATGCTCTTGGCAGCTTCTTTCTTTCCTGCCTTTGACTTCCCCTCCGTGGAGTTAACCTAAGTCCTCAAGGGCTCAGGCAGTGTAAAAGCAAGTCACTTCCTGGGACATGAGCATCTCAGTTAATTCCTTTGGACTTCCATTTAAAATTTTTACAGGTTTTTAGCTTTCGTTTAACAGTAATTTGTGATCAAGATTAAATTTAAGTTTATTTTATTTTTAGTGACATTTTCACAACTAGTTTGAACTTAGGTCTCCTGCTGGAGAAATATTTACAAAGAATTAACATCAAATTGCATGGTATAAATGCCATGCCATTCAACTATGTAAATAGCAGCCATGATGTTTAATTGAAAGTAAAACACTGGTAAAATGTAAACATCATTTTTGTTCCAGTTGCAATAATGTAGGCTTCAATGGCACAAATGAACGCAGTAACTGATGGTGGAAGTTAGAGTTTGTAACAGGGTCCAATAACTCTCGTGTGTCTGGAAACCCTTTTAGTAATTGCTGTGCTCTTCCATGCTGTTCAATCCACTTCTCAAAACACACTCATTTCTTGTCACAAAGATTGGCTGTTTGAAAACTCCTAGGCTGGCGCTTCAATATATAATTCAGTGCACCTTCAGGCATTGGATTCCTGCGCTCATTAATCTATTTCCTGGGTGTAAATTAGATGTCTCTCTAAATTGCTTTATTCTCTCAGGCCACTAAAAGTACACGTGACACCCCATGGCATCAAATTATGCTTATCTATTTCCGTAGCTGTAACTTTGCATTGCATAGTGCACCCTCTGCAAAACTTTCACAGGTCATATCTTGACCAGTATAATATGGAAGTATTAACTGCATACTTGGTTGTGGTATAAGGAATGTATAATTAAATTGGGGACAGTTTTCTAAATATATCTTTTCTTGGAAAGGGGTCCTTTATTCCAGATGTATGGGCTGTAATATGTAGGATGAAATTGTAATATATTTAGATCCCAACTTCCGTGTAAGCAGAAGATTATTTCAATGATCCCAATGATTACACAATTTGTCTTTAAATTACATTAATAATGAGCTTCCATTACTTTTCTTGAAAACCCGTAGTCAGAAAACAATAACTTACTAGGAAGGGCACAGATCTAAAACCAGACTTCTTATGTTAGCTGTGAAATCTTTGACAAGTTACTTTTCCACCACTTGGCTTTCTCATCAATGAAATGGACCTGAAAACAATGCCTAGTTCATTGGGCTATTGTAAATTAAATGCAGTAACATATGTCCAGTGATGAGAACAGTGCTTGCCATAGTTAATGTTACCTATATGTGATTATTATTCATTTAATTAATTAATATTTATTAAGCATTTAATGTTTTATCATCTACTAATATACATTGCCTTTCTACAATACTATTATCTTTTACAGAAAACAATTCTGTAGGAAAGTAAACCTGATTACAAGTTCTCACTGTTATTTCTCCACAGTGAAGAATTAGAATCTGATGAAAATGTGCTCAGATGTAGCAAAATTTTTAGTATAAACATTTAAAAAAATTTAAAAAGCAGTATCTGGACTTTGGTAAGCACATATGCAAAGAAGTATTAGTTTGACCATTTTGAGGTGGAAATGAATATTTATTGGAATAAGAATATTTCAAAATGTATTACTGTGTTTAAAAATAGATTATAACACAGCAGGCACAGAATGTTTCCACTTTTTAGTAAAAAAAGTAATGCCTATGGATGCACAAATAATATTCTGACCTTTAAAAAGTTGATTTTATTGTGCTCAGATGGTAAAAATATCACCACGTGTAAAGTTCTATGTCAAATTGCATTTTTGTCCTTATTTACTGAAATGTTTATATGCAAATAATACTTTTATAATTTATGTCTTATACAAAGCAATTGAAACTTTAAATTTATGGGAATAACCGAAGGTAAAAAAGTGAAAAAGCTCAAATGTTGCAATTCAATTTAATATACTGTATTCTTTTTTGTTGAGAAATGGCCAGATCTTGTTTTCTGGCTTAAGGGTCACAGATCCCAAGATAGATTGTTTTGTTCCCTGTTGTAGCCATGTCTCTCCCTATGACTGGAGTTAAGTAAAACCCAGGAATTATTTTATGACTTTCCTTATTGCAGCAAAGACACTGGTGTGAGGCATATCTACTTTGTTTTCCATCCAAGGCATTTCATTTCTGAAGCTTAGAGTGGACTTTGTCAGAAATAGAAAATTATTTCCCCAATTCAAAGGTTTTCTAAAGAACAAATGAAACTAGCACATTTATAGGACAGATCCTCCTTCTCTCTTCCCTGAGATGTCCGTGTAATTTAGATTTGGGCCATCAGCCACCGTCTTTTTGGACTTTGAATCTAGAGGAAGGAATTAGGGGTAGTGGTTGGATGGAGCGCCTTGTGTTGCAATGGAATTGGGCTGTCAGCTCCCAGCTCTGGGGGACCCCTGGGTTCCAAACTGTTTTTCCAGCCTGGTCCCTCAGCCTCTCATCATTTCTGCAAGCCTCCATGTATCTCCATTCAATGCTCTTTCCACCTTTTGTTTTCTTATGATAAACAGAGATTTCTATCGCTTGCATCCTTTTACTCTGAAATTACCAAGGTGACCGATAGGAACCAGTCTTAGGGTGATGTAACCTTTAAATAATATTTTATTTGAAACTATTCTAATAGCTACTGGAAGCTGTATCAATTGTATGCTTCTATAGGATCTAATAAATAAAATTTGCCCAAATGTATTTGCTTTTGGCAGTCATCTCTAAATCAACCAGTGATGGCACATACGGTAACTCGATTCTGTATTTTCAGAATTTGTGCTGCCATTTGGGAATTTGAACTTTGACATTATTGGAATGAGCAATTCTAATGTTTTGGGAAGGTGGGGAAAGGTAAATCAACAGGCATGTAATTGGTTTCAATACTGTGCTTTTCAAAAGTGAAATGTTTGCAATGGTGTTATTAGCTGAGATACTGTAGATAGTTTTACATGTCGGGAACAATTAACACGTGTCCTGTGGGTCTGATTACTAGCATTAAGGAAGTTCTGCTCTGTGTAAACCCCAAAGCAAAGCCTCCAGGAAAGTTAAAGGTCCCTGTTCTACCATTAAAATGGGAAAGTAATGTGCCCTTTTTTGATTGACTATAAACTTTGACTTGTGGGACTTTGTTCTCCAAGGTGAAAACAAACATGAGTACAACACAAGTTGTTTTCCTTAAAAATTCAACCGTTAGCAGAAACCATTTATCAGAAAATTTCTTAAAATAAAACTAAATCAGTATTGCTTGTGGCTAGCACAGGAAAAAAGCAAGTTACAAAGCCAAAGTGGCTATTTTCCTATAAAATACAGCACAGAAGAAATTTTGTATGTTTAGGACATTGCCCAGAAGACTGATAAATTTGATATTTGATATGTGAAACCGTTGGAGGCATTGCATGAAAAGTTGTAATTATAAAAGATTTTAGGAGTAATTAAATGATTGAACGTAAATTTATGAGATGTCCTGGTTTTTATGTGTCATAGATCCTTGAAATACAAAAGTAAATAGGTGAGATTCACACAAACACTGTAAATTAAATGTATTGCTAGTGACGTAGAGTAGTATTCAGATACTCCATTACATGTGAGTAGAAGGAGAGTCGTAAACCTGGCCTTCTTCTCCCAGCTTCTTTCGTGACAGCAAGTAACCTGAGGCCCAGTTTCCTCCCATGAAAAGTGAAAAGCATGGATGACAGGAGCTCAGTCTTTCTATTAGCTATGGGAAACTCCACGATCCTAAAGTTAATCTCTTAACATATTTCATCTTATTATTTATTTATTTATATCTTTTTCCTCACTTCATGGACTCGGGCCACAAATATGTTTAATCTTTTGTGTAGTCGTCTATGTTTTTCTTTTCTCAAGATGGAGGAGAAAAGGAACAGAAAGAAGTGTGATGTCAAAGTAGACAGGATAATTCAAAGTGTCCAGCCTCTGAGTGGATTTAGGAAGGCAGAAACCCCCTCCTCTATGTCCTCCCAGTCCGCAAAAGACAGGAGGGAGCATTGTTCCTCTAGCAACTATCACCCAAGGCAAACAGTGAGTTTCTTCATACCACAGGGAAATCCTGGTGTCAAAATGGAAAGTGCTCGGTTAAAGAGGGAGTTTCTTCCTCTGTCACAAAAAGCCTTGTGGCTCTGAACAAATTCTGTAGCTTCAGTAGACCTGTTATCTTTCAAAGTAGGGGGACGGCTTTCCAGCTCTTTTTTTCATCCAAAGAAGCTGTGTTTTGGGTATAATGACCTAATTTACCTAGTATTTTGAGGTTAAATTTTCTTTAATTTGCCCAAAATATTATCATTCCAAGTTAAAATAGAGACAGCTCCAAAATCGAGACCAAGTTTCTCATTTTAAACTCCCACAGGCCAGTGCTGAATCTTCTCTCCAAGAAAGGAAGGCAAAGAGCTAGGTACATGGTCAGGCAAACTGTAAAGCTGTGGGAAGATAGAGAGATTAGCTATTTTTCTACCAAAGGCAAGAAAGTTGTAAGAGGAAAGTGAAGGGGGGAAAAAAATAGAGGCACAAGGGAAGAAGTGGGGGAGGAAGAAGGAAATAGAATAAGGGCAGCCCCTCCTGGCGGGCCGTCTTTGAAGTGAGGCCAGAACTACCGCAAAGGATTGTGGGAGACGAGGTCAAGAGAAAAAGTAGATGGAGACCCTTTGCTCGAAGGTTAATAGTTATGTGTCAGAAGTGTTTTATCAGAGTAAAATGCACTGTGCATTTTTAGATACTTTTTAGAGGAGTAAACCAATTCTATGGAAGTTTCCCAAGGTCCTTAGGAAAGAGGAGTTCCATGGTTTATAACCTAAAAAAAGAAAAAAATAATAAAAGATATTCTGTAATTACAGAATCTGTTTTAATTTGCAATAACAACAAACTATGGAAGAGGCCTGGTATTTCTTATTTAAAGTAAGTTCAAAACAAACTAGTTTTGTTTTTACTTTGGAGTGCAAGGGGTGGGCGAGTGAAGCCGCTGATCGTGATCTAGAGAGCCTGTTAATTGCTCACCAGCATCTGCTCTGTTTCTACAAGTTCTGTACCGTACAGCACTGTAAATTATGAATGAGAAAGATGATCTTTGTTCTTCTTAGGACTTCTGACTCCTAAGCCATGCTAGACAAAGGTCATAGCTGAGGTGAATTGAAGTTAGCTCTGGCAAAACGCATCTTGTTGTTCAGATAGCTGAAGAGATGGTTGTGCCAAATTAGCAAAGGTTACTGTGGAAACATTAAGAAGTTTACCAAATGTGTAGGAGACAGTAGCTTAAGAGGCATTTCCTTGAATGAGTTATCCAAAGGGCTTCAAATCATAAGTTGCAGGGAGATAGTTTTTTGTTTTGTTTTGTTTTTAAAATAAGAACACCAAACATGTTCCTTTGTGTTTGGCAGATTTCTTTGTGTGAAAGTGATGTGGTTGAGTTTTTATTTGTGTAGCGCTCCTGGAACATGCTGTCATGCAGCCACTCAGATGATTAAGAGAGTTCGCAGGAAACCTCCACCTCTGACTGTTTAATTTACCAGGACTTTTAAAAGCAAGGCTGATAAAATTCATAAATTTATCACATCTCTAGCAGTTGATGACACTCATCAAGTCTGTTTCTGAAACTCTTTGGTTCTGTGCTTTTGTAAAGCCAGGTCACTGATGACAAACCTAATGCAGAATGATCAAGTCATAACTAACTTTTAAATGTTTCCTTGAAGGTTAAGACCAGAGGATCTGAATAAAAAAGTAGCAGGATCCTTGCTCTGATCTTTCCTGACATTTCCCAAATCCACAAGGCAGAGGGCATGGTGCAGGGGCTGGAGAGTAAACTGTTCCATACTCAGCCCTCACTGAGGAGCAATGGCAAGCTAGTTTTTGCTAGCAGGTAAAGAAATAAACACACATACATAACGGGACTACTATTTGATTTGCCTGTGAGTTTATTTTTAGTAAGCTTATCGAAAACATGTGTCTTCAAAGAGTATTTAAGAGCACAGGATAATAAATAATCATATAATCACAAAACACTGAGATGCAAATTTCTTTTGTTTGATGCATTTTTTAAAAAAGTGCTCTCATTCTTCTAGCGTTTCCCAGTACAGTTGTTATGCAACAACTGATTTAATTCCTTTTAGGGTCATGAAGATGGTTGGAAGCCTGTTTAAGATTATGTTGCCTCCTCTTTTAATTGTTGGTCAACATTTTCAAATAGAATGAGCTATATTATGTGCCTGATGACAAGCAAACTGCATGTTTCTTATAGAATGGCTGGTTAGTTGTGTTTGTAAAACCAAATATCATTCTCTGAACAGCAGGTCAGGTAATGCTAGCCTTAGTTAATAGCTGTAGGTACCTTGAGTACTTCTCAAATCAATAATGACAGAGGTAGCCTGATAGCAATTTATGAACCACAGTCCTCTTGGGAAACATATTTCAAACCATAACTTCATCTAAACTGTTTATCGGCTAAGCTTGCTCAAATGTATGAAGTGTCAAAAAGTTTCTTTGACATTAGGCTTGTTATTGTCTTTTGATTTATGCACTTAAGCAAAATGTAGTAAATAAAAAGATCGTTTGGTGGTTTGGTATTTTAAGGAAATGATTAGAAACATTTGCCAATGTTATTCATTTTGTACAGTTTTTTTTCTTTCCAAATTACAAAAAAAGTGTTTCAATTCAGTGAATGACTTCACCATAACAGAATCTTAAATGATTATTATAGTAAGTGGAAATGCCGATGAAGTTACTATGAAATATTTTAAAAACTGTGAAGTAAATATGTAATGCTCATATATAAAGCCTTTGTCTCTTTCCTTTAATTTTTGTATGCCTGAGAGTTTACAAAATATCCCATTAATAATCTAAGGTATTTATGGTTGTGAATTCACCTTATTAAAAACGTGGCCATCATATCTTAGTTGGTTTTTACAGAAACTTCTATATGAAAAATACAAAGGACAGTTCCCTTTGAAAGCATCCTTACAGAAAATTCTTGGGTTTAGACAAAACATTTTGATTTGCTTAGAAATGAAAATATTGACTTTCCAGATTTCTTGATGATGAAATATTCTAGAGGTACCAAATGCATCAAAAGTCAAACTTTAAGACAAATCTATATATTTCTTTTTTTATGGAGATAGAGTCGCACTCTGTCACTCAAGTTGGAGTGCAATGGTGCTGTCTCATCTCACTGCAATCTCTGCCTTCCAGGTTTAAGCCATTCTCTCGCTTCAGCCTCCTGATTAGCTGGGACTACAGGCGCATGCCACCATGCCCAGCTAATTTTTTCATTTTTAGTAGTGACGGCGTTTCGCTATGTTGGTCAGGCTCATCTCGAACTCCTGACCTTGTGATCCGCACGCCTCGGTCTCCCAAAGTACTAGGATTACAGGCATGAGCCACTGTGCCGGGCCAAGGCAAATCTTTTAAACAAGATTTCATTTCAATATTGTAGTTCACGATTTTACATTTCATTACAATTTGAAGCTTTTCATTCTTATAATTACTTAACTGCATTTTTGTATTTGGCAACTCTAGGCAATTGTATATATAATAGTTGGCCAAGGATTCCAAAGAACTGCATTATGAGTTTTCAAAAGCTTATTTAAAAAATAAAACTGATAAAAATGAAATTCACTTGCACATTGTAGGCAAACAAAAAACCTAATAGAGACAGACACATTTTAATGCAAGAGTTGCTTATATAAAGCTTTATGTGTCTAATATATCTTTTTCTGACTGCTTAACTACTAGTTGATGGGTACTATGAAAAAGTCACAGATATAAAAGAAAAAATGAGTTCACAGATATCTAGACCAGAATTGTTAACTTAGTGGATCTGTTTCCTTGAAAACAGGATATAGTGAATCTGCATATATTTAATGGAAAGTGGTTGCATTTACCGGAGAGTTAGGAGAAATGACTTCTTAATGGAGCCAGAAGTTCTGATCTGCTATCCTTCAAAGAAAGACTGTTTCCTAGGCTGGCCAAAATTCCTATGGAGCAACCTATGCTTATTGATAAGTTATCGGATTCCTCTCCGGAATCAGCTGGTCAGGAAGGATACAGAGGGGAGGAAGGGGAAGGGAGAGGAGATTCCGATAGTGGCCCCATCTGGTTGCCAAGGTAGGAGGGGGTGGAGAGTTGAGAAAGGAAGAGTAAGAGAGGTAAAGGGAAAGAGAACGGGAAAGAAGAGAAAAAGTCAAGAAGAAACAAAGCAGAGACCAAGCAGGGTGATGATAGCCACATAGAAAATTCGTTCTTGTAAATGGAACCGCATTCCAGATCTCCAGGCTCATTAGAATGGAGGATTGCTCACCTGGATTGCATGAACTTCTCAAGTCTCTGAACCCACTGAAATTGTATACATATTTTGTGAGTATGTGTACATGCATTTCCCACCCCTGGGGAAAGTGTACTTTGCTTTGATCTGATTCTCCAAGAGGTCCAAGACTCAATAAAATTTAAGAATTACTACTTTAGTGGGATTACACACAAATTTTAAAGACAAATATCTTTAAAGGAGTCATCGAATACTTAGGATTGACTGTACATAGTCCAGGAATGTAATCATCTAGTATTAAGTTTATGTTCTGGGAAGAGTATCCATTCCTTCAGACATGTAGAATGACAGCTGTTCATTGAAATGCTATTAAAAAATATTTTTTTGAGGTAAGGTCTCACTCTGTCACCCAGGCTGGAGTGCAGTGCTGTGATGAGGCTTACTGCAGCCTCTACCTCCTGTGCTCAAGCAATCCTCCCACCTCAGCCTCCTGAGTAGCTGGGACTATAGGCACATGCCACTATGCCAGGCTAAATTTTGTAGAGACAGGGTTTCACCATGTTGACTAGGCTGGGACTACAGGAGTGAACCACTGCCCTGGCCTTCAGTCAAATATTATTGATTGACCATTTGCACCAAGTCAGTATTTTTCTCATTGAGGGCCCTGAGAGTGTGGAGAAACAGTGTGGTACAGGGGAAAGGGCATTAATTTGGAGCCAGATAGTTCTGGGACTCAGGTACTATATGGAATTCGAACTAACGGTGTGAACCAGGAAGGTGAAGTGGTCTCCTTGACTCTGTATCCTCTTCTGTAAATGAAGAGGATGCTCGTTACTTCCCAGGGCTGTTGTAGACATGAAAAGAAATGCAATACTAGCCTATGTTTATTAGACACTCACTACCTTTCATTCAGTATTATATATGTTTTCTATGCTTTATGTAATTTCATCTTCTCAACAATTTTATGAGATTGGTGTTGTGTTTATTTCTATTTTACAGATGGGGAAATTGAGACAGAGAAATCAAGACATTTGCTGCAGGTCGTGCAGGCTATGAATGGAGCTGGAATGTGAACGCAGGACATGTGACTGCAGAGCCCATGTTCTTGAACTCTCAGGAAGACAGCAGCAACGCTCCTGGTGCAGTAGCTGCTTAGCTGGAGTGGCTGACAAGGTTGGGAAAGGGTCCTGTTCCTCCAAAGAATGACTGCCGAGACACTGTTTACACCGAAGCTGCCTCTATTCCTGAAATATGGATTGTTATTCTTTTCCCCTCCATGTTGAACATTACACTCTTCTGTTCTTTCCTATTCTCTTCTTCCCTTCCAGATGACTTCTAGGGTTTTTATGATTCTGTAATTCTAAGGAAGAAAGGATAAGAAAAGTTGTAATGTGAGTGTGCAAAAGAACCCTAATTTTCATCACCTACACATAGCTGTTTCCTAGATGTTTCAGCAAAAATTGTGACTTTCCGGATACCTGCTCACCTGGTTTTCTCCCTCCCTCCCTTCTCCCTTCCCCTCTTCCTCCTTTCCTCCCTTCCTCCCTCCCTCTGTTCCTTCCTTCCTTCCTTCCTTTCTTTTTTCTTTCTTTCTCTCTCTCTTCTTTCCCCTCCCTCCTTCCTTCCTATTTTCTTTCTTTCCTTTCCTTTTCCTTCCTTCCTTCCTTTCTTCTTTCTCTTTCTCTCTTTCACTCTCTCTCATTCTTTCTTTTCTCTTTTCCTTTTTACCCCAGATACCTGGTTTTCTATCAGAATGAGATCTAATGCTCAGAAGTATTATCCCAGCAAAATGGGATCCCACCTACTCAATACACCTTTACAAAACCCTAGAACTGTAAAAGTTTTTTTTTTTAATTTAGTCAACTTTCTATGGGCAATTACATAATGTGAGCAGGCATTATATGACTTGGTGCTTTACATTCAAATAAAGTTCAAAAATTTTCCTCTTTTGGAGAGTTTTCCTTTTTTTCCCAAGAGATCTGGGTAATACTGATGTGTTTAGTGTATTCAAATCCTAGAAAAGCACATATATAAAAATGTAGGTTTCTTTTTCTTTTAATCAAATCTCCTGTCTTTTTGTTTTTTTCTTAGTGCTATTCATCAGCAAAATGGCCAGGTCTGGCCTTAAGGGAATGTTATTCAAAGTTTGGGAGATTTGAAAAGATATGTCCCCATTGAAGTAGAGCCTTGTTTTTTCTTCTAGGAGAGAATGATTTCCAGGACGAGCAGGACACATATGGAAGGCCTTAGCTTATCTTTAGCGCCTTATACACCCGTTCTGGACTCCAGAAAGGCCAGTGAGAGGGATTAGACCTCGGAGATAGGATGTCAGTCCCTATGAAGGATGGCCTATAGCATTCGTTAATTTTTTTCTTTGGGTCACACATAAGAAACAATTTTCCAGCACTGATGAGTGTTACTAACAATCAGACAGGGTAGCATTTTGTTTTCCCTATGGCTGTGCTTAAAAAATAGGAAAGCTGTCTTTTCTCTCGAATGATTGAATGAGGCTCTGGGGAGGAAAAAGTGGATTGGCAGATGTCTTAAAGGAAGCTTCCCTTTCTAGGTACTGTTCTAAGGCTTAATACTACCACTCCCTGTATTAACCTAGTTCAGCTAAACAGTGATCTGAGTAATTTTATTTTTATTAAAGCTCAGATCAAAATGCCAGTCACACTGATTGAGAAAAAGCAATGGAATCTTTAATGTGAATGATTAAATTGATGAATTATTTCAGTCCCATTACCCTCACAGCATGAGTATCTGATCTGATAGGCCTCCTTGGAATTTTTTTGTTTGAGACAGAGTCTCCTTTTCTGTTTGAGACAGAGTCTTGCTCTGTTGCCCAGGCTGGAGTGCAGTGGCATGATCTTGGCTCATTACAACCTCTGCCTCCCTGTTTCAAGAGATTCTGGTGCTTCAGCCTCTTGAGTAGCTGGGATTACACATGTGCACCACCATGCCTGGCTAATTATTTCGTATCTTTAGTAGAGATGAAGTTTTGCCATGTCGACCAGGCTGTTCTCAAACTCCTGGCCTCAAGTGATCTTCCCACCTCAGCCTCCCAAACTGCTGGGATTACAGGCGTGAGCCGTTGTGCCCAGCTAGAATTCCGTAATAAAGCCCTCTATGTCTATTTCTTTTTCCAAATCTGATTTTCTTGCTTTCCAAACATCACCTTTTAAGAATCCAAGGATTTTTTTCAGGCACAGTGACTCATGTCTGTAGTCCCACTGCTTTGTGAGGCCAAGGTAGGAAGTTCATTTGAGGCCAGTAGCTCGAGACCAGGTGGGCAACATAATGAGACCTCGTCTCTACAAAATAAAAAATAAAAATAAAAGCCTGAGGAAATAACGGTGCCTCACTACGTTTCAAAGCTTTTGACCTTCGTGTCAGAAAATACATTATTTTTAGGAAAGGCACCTCAACCTTATTTACAAATGAGCTCTGATTGGTCAGGAGCAGCCTCAGTAAGGATAATAGGACTTCCCAGTATGACATACAGCATGATCAGCTCTTCTCCGAGCCTCCTGAAAGAAAAGGAATGAGGTTTCTTAACTCATTCTCCCCTAGCATCTTCTCCCACTCTCCTCCCTCCTTCTCAGCAGCTGTGTGCAGCAATGGGCTATGCAACTGGGCTGCACTGGTGCCTGGTGGAACTTTTAATTCCTCCCTGTCAGCACATTCCCTAGTCCACTTTCATAGTTCGGATAAGGACTGGATAAGCAGCTGAACCGCTGGGGACTTTTCCAAATGAAATGCAACCTCTAGACCTTTGAGGGTTTACCCAGTCTTCCTCACTACCCGAAGATGAGCTTGGAATGAATTTTCTCTTAATGGATTCTATTTGTGGGTAGAAGAGGTAATGACTCCCTTGCTCAGAGTCATGAGCATAACTTCAAATAAGGAAAAAGAACCATGCAGGAATGTGAGAATAGATGTGATCCTGAGGAAGGTGTGCCTGAGGAGGTGCTGGGAGGTTCTGATCGGCTGTTGAAGGGAGATACCGTATCTCACGTGACAGAAATGACCTCCTGACATCAGAGTTGTGTTTGAGTGGTAATTTAAAAAATAATACAGCTGACAAGGAAATATGGAAGGCATTACTTTGCAATACAGTGAAATGAATATACAGCATTCAAGAATAATTACCGGGTACTGATTAGCTGGAAGAAAGGCAATAAAACTTTAAAAATAGAATTTGTAGAAATAGCACAAGGTGGGACTATGCCTCCTGCTGGTTTGTTGCAAAGAATTCGTTTTTGGGAAAATCCTGTTGAATTGTATGACTTGTGAATCTGGCTCTAAAACTGTAAATAAGAATTGAAAGAGAACGATCTAAAAATACCAAGACATCTTTTAAAATTCCCATTTTTAGCACAGCTATTTTTCATTAAAATAAATTATTCAATCCCCCTTTTTTTGAGACAGAGTCTTGCTCTGTCACCCAGGCTAGGGTGCAGTGTTGTGATCTTGGCTCACTGCAATCTCCGCTTTCCAGGTTCCAGCAATTCACCTGCCTCAGGCTCCCGAGTAGCTGGGACTACAGACGTGTGCCACTACGTCCAGCTAATTTTTGTATTTTTAGTAGAGACAGGGTTTCACTATGTTGACCAGGCTGGTTTTGAGCTCCCAACTTTGTGATCTACCTGCCTCAGCCTCCCAAAGTGTTGGGGTTGCTGGTGTGAGCCACTGCACCCGGCTAAATCATTCCATTTCTGTTTATTGAGGTTACTGTTTTCACAGTAGGTCCAGGGCTCTGGTGAAGTCCAGGAGGTGCCCAGGCCCCTTCAGTGGTTCTGTTTCATGCCACGTGTTTTATTTAATAAGTGGTTGGGCTCCAGATATGCATGTAAACATGGTGCATCTCCAGGTATTGGTTTTGGTAATGCTGTAAACAAGGGGAGAATACATTAAAATTTGGCAATAATGCTCCTTTGCACTCAGTCTATTCTTTTAAGATGAAATGTGTTTCCTATAACAGAAAAATGTAACCACCATCTTCTTCAGCAGGAGGGAACATAGCTTGTACAATCAGTGAGGTTATCAACAGCTGGAGGATTTATCTGACCCTGAGGAAGGTTATGGTCTAGTGAGGAATGAATACAACACCTGTAGATGGTAGGCGAACTTGTTGCGTATGGTGGCATGAGGTAGGTGCCAAATGTGTAATACTCATGAGTGGTACTCCAGGAAGAGCAAATGGTTAGTAGGGCAGACAGGTGGATAAGCAATGGGACTTGGACCAAGGCTTGAACAGAAGGCAGAGTATTAAGAGGAGTAGGGAAAATGATTCTGGTGGTGGGGTAGATTTTATTTTTGTTTGCAATGATTAATCTCTGTCCTTTCCTATAAGAAGGTTATATACCCTTACTAGTTACAATGTAATTTATAATGCTTAGTTATAGCAGAAAAGTATTTAATTGGCTCATTCATGTTGAGCTTGCCTATGTGACTTGATCTGACCAATGAAATATGAGTGAATCCTGATATATGCCATATCAGAGTGGAAGCTTTAAATGTGCCTGCATGTTTTGCTTCTGCCCTCTCCATGAGTATAGTATGTCCCAGCTAGTGGCAGGTTCTGGAATGTGGATTTCAGAATACAGCAGTGCATAGCACAGAGTTGGAACCTGGACCAGGGCCCAAGCCCACTAAAAAGATACATACAACGTGAGTAAGAAATAAACACGTGTTGTTGTATCCATTGAGATTTTCAGGGCTGTGACTGCACCATGGCTGACTCATACAGGAGGGGAACACAACCTGAGCAAATATGTGGGGACAGAAAACTACATGTCTGAGAGACAGTAAAACAAGTATCTAATTTGGCCAAGGCTAGGGCTTTGTGTAGGAGAGGAACATAAACAAGAGGTTGTGTCTATTATGAAAGCCTTGAATAGCTGATTAAGAACATTGACCTTAATCTATAGGCAGTGGGAAAACACTGAGGACTTTTTAGCACACAGATGAAGGAACAAAGGGAGAATTTAAGAATATCTGTTCAATACCAGTGTTAGGACAAAGTTGATGGTGGGAAAGAAACCAGTTAGGAGCAGTGCGTTCTTTTTTTGTTGTTGTTTTTTGAGATGGAGTTTCACTCTTGTTTCCCAGGCTGATGGTGTGATCTCAGCTCACTGCAACCTCTGCCTCCCAGGTTCAAGCAATTCTCCTGCCTCAGCCTCCTGAGTAGCTGAGATTACAGGCATGTGCCACCACGCCTGGCTAATTTTGTGGTTTTAGTAAAGATGGGGTTTCTCCTCCATGTTGATCATGCTGGTCTTGAACACTTGATCTCAGGTGATCCACCCATCTTGGCCTTTCAAAGTGCTGGGATGACAGACGTGAGCCACTGCACTTGGCCAGGAGCAGTGTGAAGGAGCAGAGTGTTCTTAAGCATGTGCTTTAAATGTTTCCAATAGGAAGTGATCATTTTGTCAGAAGAGACTAGATTTTGATATGTATCATATATAAACATATAATGGAAAAAAATCTAACAGGAAAAATAACTTTAAAATAAAACATTCGATATGACCATGGTAACATAAATGTTTCCCTAGGACAGGGGAACAGAATAAATGGGCCATGATTTGCTGACACCTTCCCAAGTGGGCTTTTTATATAACATCATGAACCACCTGAGCCAGAGCCTTCAAAGCTGTTATAATTCAGGTGTGTTTATCTCTTTGAACACAGATTCCAACTTACATGCAATCTTTCCCTTTGGTGTGAAGATCCATTGCTAGTGTTCATCTCATTGTGGCATAAATCCTGTGAAATCATATAGGGGAAGAGAAGTACTTAAAGCCCAGCAAACTTGTAGACTTGTGGTTAGTCTGTAATTGTTGAATGCAACATCTGTAAAACTTCATCATGAGAGACCTTTGCCACACACATGAACAAGGACGGAAATTGACATGAAAGCAGGCTATCTGGTGTTCCATAATAATATAATGTTTACCTGCTTTCTACGTCATTCAATACTTTACCTGCTTTGGGTCCAACCCTGAATGTCTTTCATCTAAGCAGGACAATTACTTTACATGGATTCTAGGAACTGTCTTGCATTTTCTAGATAATGTATTATTAGACTGTCTTGCATTTTTCTACATAATGTGTCACCTTGATACTGTATCATTTCTAGATAATGTATCATTAGTTCATTGAGGGCAGAGAATAGAGGCTCATGTCAACAATACCATACAGATACAGCCAAGGTCATCTCAAGGTTACAGTTTTCATCTGTGTTGAGATATGAATCTATTCCAGTTCTAATTCCTTAATAGAGTTGCCTTTATTTCAGTGAAACTTTTTATTTTATTTTATTTTTAGATGGACTCTGGTTTTGTTGCCAGGCTGGAGTGCAGTGGCATGATCTTGGCTCACCACAACCTCCACCTCCCCGGTTCAAGTGATTCTCCTGCCTCAGCCTCCCAAGTAGCTGGGACTACAGGCACGCACCACCACCTCTAGCTAATTTTTATGTTTTTAGTAGAGACAGGGTTTCAACATGTTGGCCAGGATAGTCTCGATCTCTTGACCTTGTGATCCATCTGCCTCAGCCTCCCAAAGTGCTGGGATTACCATCCTGATCACAGTGCCTGCCTCCAGGCTCATGAAATCCAGCATGTTACTGCTGTTATGAATGTCTCTGCTTTGTAAGCGACATGTTTAATGAATTGGGAGTATCTATGCACATTGAATTCACTTAAAAAGGAAAAAATACCCTTTAACAGCTATAGCTACAGAAATTCAATTTAGTTTATTTAGGAGGAAATGAGAGACTTAAATTGTAGGTGTGAAATCTTACAATCTTTCAGCATGATTTGGTTTGGGGGATGGTTGGAACTTCACAGAATTGCCTCAGCCAAAATAATTTTTGTGAGTACATTCCCAAGCTCACGATCATGTTTTGGTAAGAAAAATCCCTTTCTCCACAAGTTCTCAGGTCCCATTCATTGGCCCTTGCCCTCAATTCTGGAACCTATGTTAGGCTGTTATGTGGCTGAGTTCTTGGTGATATGTTTTCAATTTGAGTCAACTTGATGAGAGAAAAATTACTAAAAAGTGGGAATGAGCTGTGAGGTGAACAGGGTTTTCCTATCAAAGTGAAGGTATTTTAAAAAGCATTTATTATTTCAAACTCAAACATTTATAGAAAGCCATGAGTGTGAAGTGTATGATTACCAGTTGCGGCTTGCCACATTGAAAATTTCAAGTTCATAGAAAATATTTACTGTGGCTCTGGCTTGCAAGCAGTTTGTTCCAAATAACAATTTGGTCCAGAAGGCATGTCAGCTAAAAAATAGTTTACTAATATAGTAGTAACAGGCAATTAGGATTCATAAACGTTGCCATGTCTGAGACATGATTTAGGGTCTTAGATGGAAAGAGTTCCGTTATTAAGCGAACAGAATTTAAATGCCGTATCTGTCTAGGTGTCATGCATGTCAGAAGTGAGAAAACTACTCCTTCATTTTCCATTTTTATGAGCTCTTATGTAACACAGTTGTTTTTTTTTGTGTTGAAAGTGATGAATATGGTTCTTGGCACAATTGTTCCAAGTAAAGAAGTATTTAACTTACAAGGGAAAAACATCTGCCTTTGACCATGGATTAAAGAGATGTTATAGGATGAAGTTTACTTCCTAAGGAAAGATTGGCTTTGTGTGTCACTTTCTGAAAATTTGTTTGGGACATATAAAATTATTTTGTATAAATTCTAGAGGTCTGAGGAAAATGTACTTAATCACATTAGGTGAGAATATTTCTTTTGGTGTGAATTGAGGAGTTATCAAGGTTCTGATTTTTTTTTTCTCACTTATTTGCTCTGGGGCTCATCTCACTACAATGCATTCGTGAACCATTGAATAAAAAGCAGGCTGCAACAGTATTTATTATATATGATCCTACATACACATAAAATCGTGTGTGTGTGTGTGTGTGTGTGCGTGCACACATGTGTATAAAAAGAGCTACGTTTTTAAAGTTGTTAATAGTTAATTCTGGGTGGTGGATTTTAAGTGATTGTTATTTTCTTTGTATGTTTTTTTTAAACAGTACATAATTTTCTTTTGTTGTTATGAAAGGTATAATACACTTGAAAGAGGACATATATACAGTTTAAATAATAATAAAATAGTGACTACCCACTGCTTAGCTGAACAAAGTAACATATTACTCTGTTGTAGAAGGCAAGCTCTGCTTCTGCCTCTGCCTCTGTCATAGAGATAGCTGCTTGCTTGAATTTTGTGCCAGTCACACCTTTGCTTTCTTATATAGTTTAGCCAGCTGTGAATGTAACCATAAACCATAAATTATTTTATTTTGATTGCTTTTGAACTTTAAATAAATGAAATTATACTAGATATATTCTGTGACTTTTCCTTTTTTTTCTTCCTTCTTATGTTTTGGAGATTCATCCATGATGACATGTGTATCTGATTTTTTTCTTTGAACATAAAAAGATTTCAGTCACACACATACAAATCATTCAAGTTACAGTCATTTTGAAAGAAAAACCTCATATGTACATTTAAAAATACGTGCTGAAACAGTGCAGAAATAGCCATGTTTTTGTGAATGAAAAAAATTGTAATCCTTTCTTATGTGTCCACATATGGATGGTATAACAGCTGCCTTCAGAATATTATTTTTAGGGTTTTCTGGCTGCACCAATAATAGAGACATACCTCCCTTTTCTGCCCCTGCCATTCAACAACTGTGTCTGAAATTCAACCATTAGCTATTTTTTCCTGAGGATTTTAGGAACTTTCTTCCAAAAGAAAAATTGTTTCATGCGGCGATTCCACATGAACTAGTTTACCAGTGATCAGCTTTAGACTTTGAAAGCGAAAGAGCGCATCTTGAGCAGCAGAGGAAGGGGACAGCTTTAGACCTTGAGATGTTTGGAAAACAAGCTTCACTGTGGCACCCAAATGGGGACTCAGAATAAACAAGGTATGGAATCAGTCTTAGTGTTCATCCGCATACACAGTGAAATACTATTCAGCCATGACCTGTTGCTGACATTTGCAGCAACATGCATGAATGTGAAGGCCCTTAAATTAGGTGAAATAAGCCAGGCTCAGAAAGACAAATAACCGCATGATCCTACTGATAGGTGGAATCCAAAAAAGTTGAACCCATAGAGGCAGAGAGTTGAAATGGTGGCCAGGGCCCTGTAAGGGTGGGGGAAACAGTGTTGTTGGTCAAAAGATAAAACATTTCAGTTAGAAAGAAAGAATTCAAGAGGTCTATTTACCAGGTGGTGACCACAGGTAATAATAACGTATTGCGTATTTGAAAATTGCCAGGAGTTTTTAAGTGTTCTCACCATGGATAAATATGTGAAGTAACATGTATTTACTTGACTTAGCCATTTCATTTATGAAAGAGACATATTTCAAGACATCGAATTGTACACCATAAATACATAGAATATTCATTTGTATATTAAAAAGTTTGGGCATCCTAAAGGCAACCAAAGATGCAGGGAGAAGGCAACATCCAGGCGTATGTGATGCAGAGAAAGGAGTCGGGAAGGCAGCACCTTAGCCACCTTATGACTAGGCCCATATGCAATGCCAAGCACTTCTTGAGAACCTAGTGTATCAGGCTCTGTGCTAGGCATTCACAATAGAAAATATAAGAAGTAAAGCCAGTCCCTTCTTTTAAAAAACTCTTGGCCTAGTAGAAGAATAAGATATACCAGCAATCTTTGCTCCAGGTCCCAGATAATTACTGAGTATGAAAAGAATGGACTGGTAGTAGGGGAGCCTTCAATGAGGAGCGACACTTGAAGGATGTGTCTGGTGGGCATAGAAGGGGAGGTTGTTCCCTTCAGAGGCAAGGCCACTTACAGAAGCACAGGGGTATGAGATCACAGAGTCCAGTGAGTTTCTGACACATGTGACTGGCGTGCTGGGGCCATCCTGCACCACCAAAGTGATGGCTCTGTAGCCTAACCTTGTCACCCACCCATGTGAAATCATGCCATACCTCTCCTGCTCAGCACACATTATTACACTTGGCCTTGGTCCCATCTCTCCTACGGTGCTTCTCAAATGCGTTTCCTTAAATGACTCTCTTCATCACAACTTTCTTGGTTATAAAAATAGAGAATGACATCAGAGAGCCTAAACTCAGCTTTCTCCTTTTCCCACAGAGATCCTGGAAAATGGGTGTGTTTCTTCTCAGAATGGGATTTTTCTCCATGACTTCAGTTGAATTACAGAGTTGTAGAAACAGCCAAGTTCCTGTTGATGTGGATGAATTATCCATGAAGGTCTGAATGCAGGAGTCTATGAAAAGACCAATTAATCAATTATCAAATTTTTGAGTATGTGTTGTGAGCAAGGCGCTGTATAACCATTATGCCATGTATTAATCTATTGGGAAATAATTTGACCTTGCTTGTGTAGTAGTTTGTTTATCTTTACCTTAAAATTTGTAACTCTTTCATAAGTGTTTACATACCAACTATTTGAAGGCTTTATGCAAGGTATGGTTTTATTGTACTTTGCTTCTTCTGTTTCAATAACATGTAAGTACAGTAAAATAATCATATCTGGCTGGGCATGGTGACTCATGCTTGTAATCCCAGCACTTTGGGAGGCTGAGGCAGGTGGATCATTTGAGGTCAGGAGTTCGAGATCAGCCTGGCTAACATGGTAAAACCCCGTCTCTAATAAAAATGCAAAAATTAGCTGGTCACAGTGGTGCACCCCTGTAATCTCAGCTACTTGGGAGGCTAAGTTGAGAGAATTGCTTGAATGCAGGAGGCAGAGGCTGCAGTGAGCCAAGATCACACCACTACACTCCAATCTGGGCCACAGAATGAGACACATCCCCCTCTCCCCCCAAAAAATCACATCTTAACAATATAGGCTAACATATCATTTTAAAGAATGTTAAAACCATAAATAAGAAAGCATCAAAATGGTAAGAATCAAATAGGCCCATTATCTAGAAATAAATAGAACTTGTTGTGTAATTCAATTAAACTTGATAGAGCAAATAATTACTGGCACCTGTCGTAGGCACTGTGGCCCACGCCAAGCTTTCCTTGAAACACTCCCTCTACCCTCTGCACTTGTTAGCGTATCGTGAGCCCATGTTCTCCGTACTGAAGAAACAGAGAATGGAGAATTTCCCATTCTTCTCTCTAGTCTCAATATCCAAAGGCAACCTTCCTATAATTTCACCTTCCTGCAAAGGAAAGTCATACAAAGCCCATCAACCATGTAATTAGCCTAGATCAAGTGGTGAAAACGTAGGGATGAGCACAGGCAGATCTAGCAACTCAGGTTGAAATATATACCTTACTCCAGAGATTGGTAGTGACTGTAATGGATCTTTTCCTCTGCTACTCTTTTACTTTCATGCCCAAACTTAACATTATCAGTCTAGAATTTCTGATACTCCAGAGGAAACCTTATGAGATACTGCATGTGGCTCTCTGACCTCATTTTCCCTGCCAAACTATTCTGGGATCCTTCCCCAAGGAAAGGCTGCTGAATTGCAGCAAGATTATGTGCAAACCATGTCCCATTTCTTTCCAGGTCTTTCGCTAAGATGTATTAATTCTGGGAAAAGCTAGAAGTAGGAAAATCTCTCCTACTACCACCTTAGTCCAAGTCATTATATGTCTCACCTGGTTATTGCAATACGCACGCATACACACACACACACACACACACACACACACACACGCATGCGCGCACACACACACCAGTTGAGAGACAGAGTCTTGCTGTGTTACCAACGCTGGAGTCAGTAGTGCAATCATAGCTCATTGTAACCTCGAACTCCTGTGCTCAAACAATCTTCCTACCTCAGCCTCCCAAGTAGGTAGGACTACAGATATGCCTCTCCATGCCTGGCTAATTTTTTTAAAGCTTTTTAAAAAAATTTTTTTTTAATAGAGATAGGGTCTTGCTATGTTGCCCAGGCTAGACTTGAACTTTTGGCCTCAAATGATCCTTCCACCTTAGCCTCCCAAAGTGCTGGGATTGCAGATGTGAGCCACTGTATCAGGCCTGGTTATTGCAATATGCTTCTAACTGGTTTACCTATTTCTGTTCTTGACTCTCCAATGCATCAGGCATGCTGTCACCTCAGAGTGCCTACACTTGCTTTTCTCTCTGTCTGGACCACTTTTCACTCTATTTTGGGCTCTATCCCTCAGTGTTCCCGTACTGAAATGTCAACATCCTCAGTGAGAATTTGTCTGGGCTACTTTATATGAAATTGTAACTCCCAGGCCTTACATTTCCTAATCCCATTCCCAGGTTATGTTATTAATTGTCATCGAATGTATTGCATATTTAAAATTTTTACATCGTCTATTCTCTGTCTCTCACTACACTATGTAAGGTTTGTGAAATATTTTTGTCTGTTTTCTCACCATTGTGTCCCCAGTTCCTGAATGGTGCTGGCACATAGTATCACCAGGTATAGTTTTTATTGTACTTCACTTCTTCTGCTTCAATAAAGTACAAATACAGTGCAAGAATTATATGTTACCATTACAAGCTAATGTATCCTCATCATATATTTGATGACAAATAATATGTATATATAATTTATATATTTATCTTTCAGTAAACATATGTATTATTTGTTGAAGGAATAAATAAATAAATGTATAAAAGAAGGGGCTTACTTTTTATATTATTTTTCTTAGAATACTGTAGTTCCAGTCCAAAATTTAGTTAGAACAACACTTGATTTTTACTTGAGCAAAGAGAATCAATTCCACATTTGAAACTGGTGTTTTCTTTGTTACAGACCATGATATTCATTGTTTGAATTTTGTCTTTTCTAGCTTAAGAGAAAATATTGAGGGCAAGTTTAGTAATTTCTGACCTTTCTCATGTTTTCAAAAGAGGTACTTGTACTAGAAAGTAAAAACTCTTCAAGCTTTCCAGAAATAATCCCTTTAAGGAAACATCTCAGAAATAACGTTTAAATGTATCTTTGTGTAATCTGCACACACTAAGAGAAAAGACCTGTTTAAGTGGTGACAGCTCATTAGACTAGGGCTGCTTTTAATAATTGAGGCGTGTGATCACATTTCTAACTTAATTCTTCATCTTGATCTTCAGATATTTAACAGAACATTTGTGTCAGGTGGTCAATAACTGCATATATTTCTTTTTTCTTCTCTGAGATAGTAAAGGGAGTAACGAGAGTTTTCTCTGCAGGAGGAAGAGTTGGGGTTGGGGAGTCGACATTTATGTCCCACCACCTGTTTCTATAAAGTTTTATTGGAACACAGCCATGTCCATTTCATAACTTGTTGACTGTGCATACAGTCTATGCTCACTTTCATGCTAAAACAGCTAAATCGAGTAGTGGTGAC